AAATTCAATTCGGAAATTCACTGCCTCGTCTTCTTCTGCAGTAGCAACGATAGACTTAAATGGTATTAAATCACCTGGTAATAATTGTTGTATCTGGTAGTTAATTAGATCAACAACAACATTTTCCGCTGTCAAAATTGCACGATTACTAAGCCAATCATGATTTATGTTTGGAAAGACTCTTTCATCAGTTCATTTTTAGTTTGAACGACAGTACAGAAATTATCTGGCAATGGAATATGTTAAGTATTTTGAGAAATTTCTCTTTCACCGTTTCCAAGATCCAGTAATTGCTTAGAAAATTCTTGTGCTGTTGGATCATTTTGGAGTTGTGTTCGCATGTTTTTTTATCAGTCTGAATGTTTCAACATTTTTTCATAAAATTGATCTTTTAGACATGCATTAATTTCATCTCCAAAAGTAGCACGAGAAATAAGTGGCAACGTTTGCTGGAAATCATCAGATAGTAGTAAAACAGAACCACTGAAAAGTCTGTCACTATTGTTTAAATCGTGCATAGTCCTATTTATGCTTCAAGCGAATACTTATGATCGAAGTCTTCCGTAATACTGCTGCCATTCCGCTTCTTCCTTTGATATGACACTTTGCATTTGGATTGTTATGAATATCTTATAGTAGCTTGAGACCATTAATTTAAATAATAACTATCCTATCAGTTGAGTTGGACCAAATAACATATATATGTCAACTTTCATGAATATCAAACATACACAGGGACACGGGTTCTTTATATATTAAGATATCTCTGAAAAAGCCCATCGAAGCACAGCGTAACACATAAGTAGTAGTAAAATACAGTAGAGAACTACATACCCATATAAAGACAATTTTAAACACCTCAATAAAAATTAAAGAAAATTAAATATCTAAAAGTTAAAGAAATAGAAGAGTGATTAGCGATGTTTGCTTCTTTTCGCAGGGTAATAGCCAGCCTAACATCCAAAAATACAGATTTTAAATACGTATTTCCCATTGGCTGGAATTGACCAATATATTTCAGATATTAAATAAAAGCTCTTCATAATTTTAGTCATTTATCTCCATTTACGTTTTATTTAATTATAAAATATTTAGAAAATGCTATACTAAAAATTAAATTATGGCATTTAACGCTTTTCGAAACCAAATGATTTTCATCAGTAATAAATTTCGTTTAACCCTTTTTCTTCCGTTTCCCATTATCATTGTCACTCTTCATTTAAATATTTCCGTAAAATATGTTCCACCTCCAATGTTATTAATTATTTAAGTTTCCAGTCAAGCCCTTATTTATTATTCCACGTTGTACACAATAATTAATTTGAACAACTGTCGCATTATTTATTTATAAATATATATTTGTGCAAACGAACGCCAACCGGCAAGGACACTACACTTGTATGTCCCTGTTGGTAAATATGTTTATTTATAAAATTTAATTTTATTTTCTTATAAAAGGACTTTGATTATTTAAATAGAATCTGGAAGTTTAAATCTCTTAAATTTGTAAAAAAAAAAAAAAACAAAGAAGTTAAATGCACAAAAATATGCAGCTTTGCGAAAAAAGTCACTACGGGAGCCACCAGGGCGTATACGCGACATTTAATAAAATTAGCTACTTAGTATGCGCAACACCTTGTTTTTTTTAGTGTACTTGGCCATACATACTCGTATATACATGCTTGTACATGAAGCGCATTAAAAGCTTTTCTAACAACATTGCAGTGATTCAAATGCAAATTTCTCTCGAGTCACCAGCTGTTTATTTTGTTGGTACTAAGACGTCAAGTGTACCAAGCAAGTGTATTGTGCGCTTTTATTAAGTTACAATCGTATTAATTTTAGCGACGCTTGGCATGCCTTTTTGTTGTTGGCTTGCGCTGGTGTTGCTATTTTGAGATGAGTTTGCTACCAGCACAGCTTGCTTTACCATTACGGTCGCGTGCTTCATCAGCAATTTGTTCATATGAACTGAGCGGGCAAATAAATAAGAGTAGCTTATCTTGTATTAGAATTTTATCTTAAACACTTAATAAGTAAGACGTCAAATTGAGTTTTAAAACGGTTTTTGGCAGAAAATATAACGGAAGATTTATACCCAAATTATTAAATTTGAAAAAATTTAAAAATCTATTATTTCTCGCAAACGGTGTCTGAGCTAATTACCTAAGGTATTGAAGACGTGAACACAACTTAAATATTCAAAAATTATTTTACATATATATTCATAAATATCTTTATAATTACATACTTTTATTTATTGTATATATAACCCGAATTATAAATTACAAAATTAATAACAAAAAAATATACCCCCATAACATAACATATGTACATAAGTATACATACCTGCATCCCCATATAAGCTAAGGTACCCGGTATATAAAATATATCATATCCACCCAATATACATATGTACACTTACAAATACTGTGTCCGATCCTCCCCAAAAGTCCAATCTATGGAAAAGGTGAAACCTACTCTTTTTCAAAAAAAAAAACATGATTTTATTAATACAAATTATTCATCCGTTTTTTGGTTAAAAATTATAAAATTAAAATATAAAATACATTGGAAAAAACTCACCTTAACGCCGCTGCTGTGAAGGCTGTTATCCAAAAGAAGACTGTTTGTTAGGCAACGTTGGTCCCTATAGATTCCACAGAAGGTTGAAATTCAAACCGGAATGAATGACTGAACTCACTTCTAACATGATTTGTCATCTTATTTTCCGATACAGAAGCGAAATCTAGGTGTGAGACGTTTACTGTTAAGCAGGGTTGTATGCATATACAAGTAGAAAATATATAAAAATTTTATTTACAAATCAAATTTATATTAAAAAAAATCGCACAAGGTATTCAAAAATAAATTTAAAAAATTCAAATTCCAACAAACTAAGAATCTTTCACACATACATACACCCATTACGATGATGCCAAAGTACCTGCATGTAACACAGAAGTCTACTACGGATGATACGAAGACTGGTCCTTATTCAGGAACATGTTCACAGCAGTGTACATCAATCTGCCTAAACTCTCCCTAGTACAGCCGAAACTCTCGTGCTGCAGTAAAAGTCTCTAAACTGAAGAAAATATGGTCAGAAATAGACCGGTTTCTCACAACAAGGCATGAAGTTGTAGAACACCTTAGCACATGTAGGCCGAATAAAATAAAACCATCCCAACTAAGCTGCCCCCAAAGAACTTCAGCACCACTTCAATCTCACAACTTCCGGAACAAAACTCAATCGTTCCACACTCAACCCGAAAATCTGGTAACATACAAAATATCCTCCATTACTCTATAAACCCCCAAACGCCAAACAACTCAGAGCCTCAAGAATACTGTACCACGTCCCAAGGAGTAGTCCAGGTTGTACCTCTCAACAGGCGACAATGTTAGACAGTAGTCAGTCTGATAATGAAAAATACTGACGCATTTCTCTTGTAGCGAAGAGAGAACACGGCTCCCCACAGCAATAATAACGGTTATTCATAAAGAAAAGTTAACCCAGATACGGGCACTCATTGGTCAAGGCTCTCAAAATAGTTTTGTGACGTTCCATGTAAAAAGGTCAGTTGTTTATCGGTATCAAAAACCCACCCTGAGATTCTCGGAATGAGGCGACAAACAGTGAAAAGCTCTCAAAAACTATGCACGTTAACAATTCGTTCCGCAGATATCGAAACAAAAATTACATCTCATGCGATAATTTGAACCCAATTGACTGAATTTCTGTTCTCATTTAAAGTAAAGGATTAAAATAGTGATAATTTTTTTCACTACCCTAGCCTAATGTAAAAAAATGAAAAAATCATGGCAGCCACAACACAGGTAATAAAAATCCTGGAATCCCCTCCTTATGAGACCCTAATATCGGAATCGACTCACAAAACTCAACAAACCCGCCCGGCAGGATGGTTAAAGGCGCCAAAATGAAAAGCGCGAGACTCCACACTCAGAGACGATGGCCGGCATACCACACTCCTAAAAATAAGCTCGAACCCTTTTCATATTCTTCCAGCAAACTCGCTCATTGATAATATTCGAAAATTTCCTTAAAAAATTCTCACTCCCGAGTCCGGAAGCACCCCTACAAAATGTCTAGCCTCTGAGACTAAAAAAATTGCACACAGACCTGACGACATTGCTAGTCAATCAGTTCCTTCCCCAAAAAGAACTGGCACCCCATGCACTAATGCATCCATCGTGGTCACTTTGTCCCAACTGCAGAAGTTCTCATGGAGGTAAAAAAAACTTTACAACAACCTCAAAGAATTTCAAATTTCAAAATACACTCAGCTCCTCCAATACAGCATCGTTCAAGGTTAAGTGCCCCAATATGAGACCTTGCTCACACTCCCGGAAATTTTCAACAGTGTTAAACTGATACAAGACGAAAATCGAAAAAATGTTTTGGTGACCTTTGACCTCACCTAATTTTTTTCCATATGCTGCCTTTAGATTTTATTCATGGTGTTTTTTTTTTGAATTGGAATTTTTGTACATTCAATATTATTTTTTATTAAATTCGACTGGGCTATTCTGGGCGAATAATTTTATATTTGCTATATTTTATGGGGTTCTAATGCATGTTATAATTTTTAAGCATTATATTTTTTAAATTATTAATTAATTATAAATATTCGTATCATTTTGATTATTCTTAAACACCTATAATGAATACATGTCTTTTGTAAACATTTATTTTTCCACTAGATTACTTTTTAATTAAATTTCATATAATTTTATTTTCTCTCCTATAACTTTCTTTAAATGGATAATTTCGTGCACAAAAAAAACACCACACCAAAACATAACGATCATAATTTCCGTTCACCAACAACAATAACGAACGCTACTACTTATGCTGCTGTTGACATTCCTGATGCTGGCACAATGACAATGATAATACAAATTGGAATAATTGTATTAAACTTCAAAATAAACACAATAAATCCACGCAAACACACATTCATATATACGCAACACAGGCAAACTGGCAGCAACTCAATGGCGCACACGCTTCGGTCGCCCCTCACAGGTGCCACGACTGGGCGAAGTTGATCCGACAGGCAGATTCTGTGCCTTTCCCGAGGATTGGCTTAAACAAAGAGCGGGTAAAATGAACAAAGGAAAAACTAATCATACCAATGCACTAACACAATTTGTTTTAATTCTTTTTTTGCCAAATTTCAATTTTATTTTAACTTCGGATAATGAAAAAAATTAATACTCTAAATTTTTGAATATTTAAAGTAAATTTACTTTCTTACGGATTAATCTATATTAATCTCATTTTCTTATTTCTTATTCACTACATAGCGGCTAAGGCTCCTCCACCCTCAATGGCGGATTTGAGACGAAGTGAGTAACCATTTTTCAATTATTTAAATTTGTGATTTTTACTCACTTTTCTCTTTATCAAATATTTCAGTTGCCGTGGTAAACGCCGTGCCCTTTATCGCCTTTGGCTTTCTGGACAATTTCGTAATGATAGTTGCGGTAATTTCTAGATCCATACGAAAGATTTTCCTGATTTCTAGCGAAAAAACTTCTATATATTCACTCATTCTCTCACCTACAGGGCGACTCAATCGAAAGCGTTTTTGGCGCGTTCATGTGTATATCTACAATGGCTGCCGCTGGTCTCGGCAACACAGTGAGCGATATACTGGGCATCGGTTCTGCGTATTATGTGGAGCGCGGTTGTGAAATGATGGGCTTCCGTTTACCCGATTTAACGCCAGTTCAAATGGAAATGAAATCGAGTAGGCACTCGGCGAATTTCGTAAGTACATAAAATTAAATACATAAAAATGTTAAAAAGATGTTTATATAAGATTAATCAACTGTTTATTCTCTCCGTTTTTAGGGTCGCATTGTGGGTATAACAATCGGTTGTCTCTTGGGTATGGTACCATTACTTTTTATGAAGAAAAAAGAGCAGAGTGAAAGTCCTGTAAATACAAAAGCCGTTACGAATGTCGATGCAAATGTCAATGTGATTGCAAAGGCGGAAGTTAATCCGAATGTTAAACCCGTTAAATCTTAAGGCAATAATATTTACAATTAAATTGCGCTGGAATTTATGTTATATTTATATTTCAATTATGCGTATATACATAAATGTTAACATGTTTTACCGATTTTAAAGGTTAAGTTCGATCGCCAAAAATCGCTGCAGCGGTTGCAAAGCGCCAATTTTATATGTAAATATATAAATTTGATTTTATTTTTCATAATTGATATATACAATCAAATAAGGTGTAATAGAAAAATTGTTTTACGTGTGTTTTAAATAGTTTTTATATCATGCTTGTAAGTCATAATATGCTCGTTTTTTTTTTGTAATTAAAGCATGTTTAAATAATTTTTAATGATATTAAAATTTTTAATTAAGCTATTCGATTGCTCTCGTTTGACTCATTTAAAGATATATATGTACAGACATGTGTATTTGCATAAATTTATAGTGTTTGATTTACATTTTTTCTTTTTGTAAGGCAAACTATTTCCTATACTCATTTCAAAGAAATATATATATTTTTTTAAATTCTTAAAGAAAAACAGCCTTGTTTTCAGTGATTTTAGTTCTTTGTAATGAACTTGATTTGTTCCAAAATTTTATTTATTTTTCAACTGGTGTTAATATAAGCTATATTTTTAGTTTCTTAATTCTTTTCTTTTTTCTCATGAAATCTTAATCTTGGCTTACGCACATGTACCTTGCACATCACGATTTTTAGTTCGGTAAATATGAATTTTAATTGACTTTGAAGTTTTAAATTATTTTTATTTTATTTTATCATTTGCAAGTTAAAACTATTCAATCATGTAAACTATATGCCTTTTACTACTCACACATGTACCTTCAAATTACGTATTGCTTTTTTAAACAAAGAAATCTAACCTTAAAATATTTTATACTAACACTAAAACTCATATTTCTTATTAGCTACAAAAATATGATAAAAGTTGATGTATTTAGCTGCAAAAAAGTGTATAAGCTGAAGTAGAAAAAAAATTAGAAAAATTTAATTACAGCTAGTACTACAGGCAAATAATAGCGAATCGAAGTATAAATAATGAAGAGAGAAGTTGTTCAGTTTTATGTAATTACGAAAAAAAAATATGTTATATGTATTGTAGATTTTTGAAAAATCTCCAGTAGATTACTTTAAATACATTAAATTAAAAATGTAATATTCTTCTCTTGTCTTCCAAAAATTTCTAAATTCTTATAATTGTTAAAAATGCGTAGGAAATGAAAATCACAATAGAGGTGAACAAATTTTGCGATAAAATCACTAATGTCCAAATAAAAGTCCTCATTTCTTTATAAATTCTTTAATTTTTGCTACCTAAGTTCACCAGATAGTCTGAAGCTATTATTAAAATTTTTGTCAACATCTCCCGGCTATACAAGACAAACTTTTAGTTATTTGAAAAACTTTGTTTGAAATTCAAAAGCAATTAAAAACTGCCACAAATTTTACATTTTAATTGAATAAAGCCTGGAAAAGAAAACTCCTTTCCGTATTGAGGAAATAATTAATATGGATATGAAGAAAACCCGTCCTATTTTCTTTAGAATCAAACTTCAACTGCAATATGTATTCATATTTAATACTGTACTTGAAGAAATATCTTAAGGCTTCAAAAAAACTATCAAAAAGTTATAAAAAATTGCTCAACTGTAGTAACAGAAAACAAAGACATACCCGCCAGAAAACAACAAAAAGAAATAAACAACAGTTAAATGCATCAGAAAACGTCAAAAATCATGCTAGAATATTAACAGACACCAATTAATGTATTTGTGAAGCGAAGCAATAGCAGAGTTTAATGAAATTGATGTAGAAATAAAAAAAATCATCTTATATATGTGAGTAGGAGCATAAAATTGAGCTTTACAAATTGCAAAATTAAAAGTAAATAATTTTAGCACTAATTTAATGTGTATACAAGTAGTGGAAGAGCAGCAAAATAAAAACAATGCAAAAAAATAACAAAAATTAGAAAAAAACTTAACTTGAGAGCAGAAAAATGTACTCAAAATTAAAAATAAAGTAAAAATTTAAATAATTTCAAGAAAATTTCTCTTTAACTGATGAAAGCAAACGTTAGATAATCTGTGCACAAAAATACAAGGTAAGATTTAAATCGAAAAAAGAAAATTACCTTACTACAATGATAAAAATTCTTTGGAAAAGGAACAACTTCAAAACTGCGCGATATCCCTATTACTCTTAGAAAATCTAACCACATACGTGTGTTTGTGATGTTTTATATAAAAAAATATATTTAAAAGTATTTACATTTTGGCAGTGGGCACATATTTTAATACAATACTCTTGTTTTCTTATATGAACTAACCATATAAAGAAATAATTTATTTTACCACTGACTAAATTATTATAAAATTTTATTTATTTATGCCTGTTTTCATAACTAAAAGTAAGAGGATGACAACAGCAAATATTTTTTTTAACAGTCATCAGCTGTATAGTCTATGAAACTCTTGCCGCAATTTGGTGTAAATCTGCTTTAACTGTTGTGTTTGCATTGAAAGTTGAATTCCTGCAGCGCCATCGCTGATATTTGTCTCATCTAAATTGGTTGACTGTAGCATTGTGGCCGCACAGCGCGCCAAATCGCATTTCAGTTGCTAGAAATAAGAAACATTATTACTCACTCCAAAACATATAGTCCAAGTACAAGATTTACCAGCAACAGTTTATGACGCTCGCTGTCACCCAGTGCAACAGATTCTTCTAACAACGCTGGCATATTATATAACAAATGAATTTTAAGATAATACAATGCAGCCGCATCCTTACTCTCTATAGTGACATAATGTTCCTCCTGCATATATGTGATTTTAATCGCTATTGACATAAAATACAACTCAATCAGTCGTTCATTCCGAATTTGCACATTTAGACACTCAGCAATATTGCTGAAGGTGCAAGATGATGACAACCGCATATTATGTAGCAGCAATTTTTCATTTTCGGTTACAATACTTCCTTCGTTCTCTGTCGCCGCATTCACATTATATTTCTTCTGTCGCTTAAGATAATCCGCAATTAATTTATCTATATCAAAGTTATTGCAAATGGTTACACATCGTTTGAAGTTCGTAAAAAGCTCGGCATATGTGGAAGCATTGATTTCCAAGTTAATGGGCAGCGTAACAGCAACAAAATCATTTTCAAAGCATACCAATGTATACAATTTTAATTTGATTTCAGCTAGAAGTTGCCTTTCGGTACGTTTTCTTGGAAGTACAATGCATAATTGCTTTTGTAGCAGCTCGCTGGACACGTGCAACATATATCCCTCGCTGCAATCAACATCTATATACAAATGCCAAAGACTGTCGCCGCTATGTAAAACGTCATTCCAATGAATTCGCAAATACATCAGTGCTACATAACTGTCATGATGGAGTTGATAAGAATTATTTGCATATAGCATAATAACGTCTTGCTGTGGCGCTGTCGGCAGTTGTACACTATAAATGAGTCGCGCTTTCGCTAAATGTCTATAGAGATGGCGATTGGTGGATACAGCCAGAAGCTGCTGCTTCACGCATTCTTCTTCCACTGCAGCATGCATTTGTGCTGGTAGCTGTGTTAATTCGTTAACCAACTCGGCCCGTGCGAGAAGGCGATTCAAACGAGCAGGCGTCAACTCGTAGAGATTTTGCAGATTTTCAAATTCTGTCGTGACTAAACCCGAACGACTAATATTCAAATCTCGTTGATTATTGCTCTCATTAGATTCAAAAGTAATTTTATAGAATATATTATTACAACTTAAGCATATCAACTGTTGCTGAGTCTCCACCCAAGTGCATGCAACAATCCCCGGTATTGCTTTATATACTTCCTCCACCCGACAAGAATCCATTGCGACATCGTATGTGAAATGTAATCGAGCTACTTGTTGTTCGTCTGTAAAATAGAAGCAGCGCGTGCTGGGAGCATACACCTGATCACAGTACTGCGCACCAGTGTAATGTTGCATGCGGCGTAGACCACACGCAGGATATGAGTAATACCAAATATCAATAGTACCACATTGTAAAAAGACCAAGCAACGTCGTTCATCGCAATCCAGTTCTATTGAATCGACATTTGTGGCGTACACACATAGCTGTTGTATGCTATAGTCGCTTTCGACTAAGTCTTCGTCGTTTTCAGCAATATTTTTAACTTCAGTACCAGCTGTAAAACAAAATGTAATAAAGTATACTTATAATAATAATTTCAAGTTCTCATCTATCGAACATGTACCTACAATCAATGCAAAAACAGCACATGATACTGTAAAAAGATGCAGCCATTGACCTACGCTCAATTCGGCTTCCTCCATAAGTAAATACTGTAGAAATTCCAAATTAGTGGCTGTAACTTGTTGTGATATCAGCGTATAACGTTCATCTTCCCACGAACAGTTGAAATAGTTTTTGTCATCAAAAGTTATGTCACAACTTTGTAACAATATGGGTTCATTACGTCCTATATCTGGCACATCCTGATACATTTCCAACATTAGTGCACTCTTTGCCTTTAAGTGTCGTATACAACTAAAACCAGCACCTGGCGCCAACGCCATGCAGCGGATACCTCCTCCAGCGTCATTAATCCAGTCAACTGAGTGTATGGATTTAACTGAACTGAAAAAGTATACCCGTCCACTGTGCATAAGTAATAAAGCATTCATCTCTAGTATAAAAATATTATTCACGACTTCACCACTTGGCAATGGTAACCGCACTTTTGTTAAACTAATTTTCCTTGTTTTTCGTGAGCGTTTAAAAACAAAATTTATTAAGTAATCCTCATTCCATGTTACAAACACTGTTTTCCCAGCATCTGAACCGTGATTTGTTAATCCCAGTGGTTGGAATAACGTGTCATCATCGATAGACCAAAGCAATTTCTCAAATTCCTTATCTTCTCTTTCATCTGTGATCTCCTGGCTTTCTTCATCCACTTCCATGAGCTCACTGGGAGCCAATGTATTAGATAACGGTATGGATTTGTTGATGCATTCCTGTACTTTGAAATGTTGGGATCCACTCATAATTTCATTAAATCCTAAAAACAAACAGACGAATGTTAAGTAAAAAATTTATTTACAAATTTTCGCGGCAAATTGACAGATGCTAAAAAGCCAATATCCTTTTTCGGATAATTCTAAATAAAGGTTGCCAAGTGTTATTGCAAGCATTTCAAAGAGTTCGATCTTTGAATTGTTTAATGAAAACAGAGTTCGTATATTAGAGAAGGGTCGAGGTGTGCCGATTGCCATTTGTTAAACCTACACGATTGCTAAGAGGCTATTTCACCTCTATACGATATTAGTGAGAGACTGTTTCATCGCTAGTTAACAGCGAACTACCAGATACTAACAAATTATTTACAGAAGAATGATATTTGGGAGACAATTATTTTATTAATTTATCATTATCTTGTTCAGAAATAGTCAATTTCTGGCGTTAGTGGTGAAATAGTCTCTTATTTCTTTCATCGATTCTGGCTGTTCACATGCTGTCCGCAAACGGTCTATAAGCAAAATAAGATTTGGGTACATTAACTTTTAGTACCGAAATTTTAAATTTTACATTTCCATTTACATGCAACCCTTCATTAATTGTCAAAATTGGTAGAAAAATTTTCCGAATTGTTCCAGTGGGAAGAAGTAGCATGCTAACCAAAATGTTTCAATGGGGATTTTGCTGAATTATTCACAATTGGTCCAAAAATTTTACATCAGCAGTGTGTGGTATTTGTTTTGATTTGTAAGGAATTTTTATTTTGCGAAACACTGGGCCATATATGTATTTAATACATTTTTTCCTAAAATCATTTTTATTTTTGAAATAGTTTAAGCAAATTTAAAGTGAAGAACATTAACAAGAAGCATTAGGATAAGTCAACGACGCAAAAGTGAAAATGGCATATGGGCGTAGCGCCAGAAAGCGCAACGGTAGTGGTGGTATACATGCTACAGCCAACTCCAAAGCAAGCCAGGTAAAATAAATGAAATTTCGAATTGGAATTCAAAGGTAAAAACCCTTATATTAATAGGTGATGCCGCATGATGAATATATCGATCGTATACGGAAATCCCTTTATTTTGGTGACGATGCACTTGTTGATGAAATGGAAATGTCATGCCCCCTCGCAGATTATGCGTCCGAATTGTTTTCTGCACCGCATAAAGGTCACTCATTGAAACGATTGAGTAGAGTAGCGACTAGTAATGTACATGCCTCACCTTGCTCTCTTATCATGGCACTTATTTATTTGGATCGTCTGAATGTGACAGATCCCATGTATGTACTACGCATAACTCCACAGGAACTTTTCATTGTATCCATGGTAAGTAGCACCTAGCATTTATTATTGCTGTATGATACAGAAATGATGTTAGTTATGTACGGTTTATTAACAATTCCCGTATTGTGAGTCATTACGCAAGCCATGTGGCCAACCTGTTGAGTAGCTGTGAATGTTGTTAGTGTGGTGGTATTGTTTATTATTCATTGCTTTGACAATTCTTATACATTGGATTTTCTCATACACGCCTAGTATATTTGACCCACTATAAAATGCGCGAGAAAAAAGTATTTAAAATATACGTAAATATATTTATTTAGTTATTTAAAATGTGATTATGGGGGTATATAACTTCCACAAAAATGCATTTGACATTGAAATACCTTTTGCAATCGTAATCTAATACACATGCAAACGTATTTTAGAAAAGAATTAGATCTATACTATGAATGTTTTTTACAATTCTCTTATCAAATATATTTAATTTGACTGCAGACTGTACCTCTCCGATCGCTAGTTTAAACTCGACATTTCATTTAAATATAAGATTATGTCTTTAGTCTCTTAAAGGTGCATTTGTACATATACAATATGTATGCTTGCAACAAGTATTATAATAACGTTTTCTCTGTCATTCATTCCTTAATGTTTGTTTTTTTATATATTTATTTTGAGACCTTTTTACATATATTTGCACTATATATCTCAGATGATATCAACAAAATTCTACGCTGGCCATGATGAAGAGATTTATATGAGCGATTGGGCTGAGAATGGGCACATAACTGAGAAAAGACTGAAGAAATTAGAATTGGAGTTTTTGTGCGCTATAGTAAGTAAAAGAAAACATTTTTTAAACAAGTAATTTTTACACCATCGTTTTCCCCAGGAATGGAATATTTACATATCAAATGAGGAGTTTTTCCATAAGCTGAGTAGTATAGAGAAACAACTCGCTAGGCGTGAGGGCTTACGACGTGGTTGGCTTACTTACACTGAGTTGAGGCAAATGTTACCCTCCTTTGCATTAGCGAAGTTCATACTGCATAATTTTGTTGTCATGGCAGTTAGTTATGCCGCAAGTGTGATTACAATAGCTGGTGCCTTTTTTTTGGCCAGCCAAATACCTGGCACTTCGCTACATCGCAAAGCTATGTCAACCGCTATAAATGGCAACATTGTAATTCAGTCACCAACACCACCAGCACCGGCTGATATTTATCCAGCTGCGCAATTGAATGCTCACCAACGCTTTAGACGTTCTAATAAAAGTGAAACAGCAAAACCACCACAAACTGTAGCCATCGATGATGAAGATGTATATAATGCTACTTGCACAGCTTTAAATGTGGAGGCAGAACTTTTGAAACTGGATTGTCAGTATAGAGAGGAAGCACAACGTGAAGCTGAACGTCAACGTCAACGTCAACGTCAACATGAAACTGATAGCGTTACACACTTGACATTGCCAGATGGCACACAACGTTTCGTGAGTGTCAACAAGAAATCCTGGAATGCTTGGTACACTACGGCTTTTGGTAATTGGTTTGCACTTAAGGAAGAGTATTCGGATGAAAATTTTGGCGGATGGCTGCATTCCCTAGACAAATTTAATGTACCGTTATCGAGAGAATATGTACCCGCAACACGTGACAAAAAGACACAAGAAAGAGATTTTAACGATGGACAAGACTGGAATTTGGGAAACTATTCAACTTCTATGATTTGGCAGCTCTTCTCTGACACCGCCCAACACTCTTTTGTGCGCTTGCCTCTAGCCTGGTTTAAATTTATTTAGTATGCGATAGAATACTACCGGAAAATTCGTTGGTTGCGCACATAGTAATTAGATATAAAAATATCCCGAGAAAAGGGTATATTTTCAAGATTTGCTTCGATTACTTTTTTCTTAATATATAGATACGAAATTTATAAAATATGAATTCAACCGTTATTTAACATTTTCAATTATTTTAATTTGAATTACATTTATATATACTAACATTTTAGGAGATTCATTCATTTATTCCAGTTGATATACTTACTACAAAATCTCATAAATACTTTTGCAAAGGAATTATTATTTTCATATTAAATATTCTCACTTTAACAACATTCTTTTCAAGCAATTTCAATTTGAAGCCATTTTCTTCAAAAAAAAAGGTACCTATATATTTTAATTACGTTACTAAAATAAAAGTAAAACACTAGTAAAACAAACTGAAGAAACTTTTCAGTAATAAAAACATAATCAAGAATTTTTAATCAAAGTATGTGTGAAACTTGCAACGCTTACTAATTGAAAAACTATTAGCTTTTATTTATTAATAGAAATGTAAAATGTCTACCTTTAACACATAAATAAATTGCACAAAACCTTTTTAAATAGCTTCTATATACAAACATACAAACATATATATGTATATAGTATAAAAATATGTCGTTGATGCTTAAAAATTTTAAATTTTATGCTGATACGAACTGTGAATTGCATAGCAAGCTACAATTAAATGTTACTAAAAATCATACGTATATTTTAATAAAACTGCAAAAAGCAATATTGTGTTCAACCAAACTTTTAATCTATTGTAAAAAAGGTATGTATGTATGTTATATAATATATCAAATTATTTAATCGGGCTCGCTTTCTTGAAGACTAAAATTAGAATTATAATTTTTGAAATTATTTTATTTTCTCTTCTGTATAAAATTCGAATCGGTTGTATTTACATATGTATATTCGTTGAAGGTGAAAAATACCTTGCTTCGAAAAACTAACTGAAAATTCATTTTTTCAAGATCAACGTTTAATAAATGTAATAACATTGGGTACATTCAGCGAACTGAACGCTCAGTAAACATGTTCAGTGGGCGATTAATTTTCATGAACGCAACGCTACTTCAAAAGTCGTAACGGCCAAATTAACTGCTACTTCAACTGCCGAAACTAATTGCGAATTCGTCATGGAAAATATTGGTGTGCACTATAATTTTAAAGTAATTATCTTAAAAATTAAATATATTTACAAACATTTTTATTGTTTGCAGCAAATTTTGAGAGTGACTGAAAACCTTGGAGCAGTAAAAAAAAATAAGCTACTGTTGGATTTATACTAGGAGAATCGCATTAAATTTCGCAGCACGAAAATTAAAAAGAAAAGGTTATGGAGTGAAATACGCAAAAAAATGCAAGAAAAAAAGATGCCCTAGATCGTAAAATGCGCAATTTGAAAAAAAAAAAACATATTGCACAATTAAGCGTAACAACAAAACAACGGATAGAGATAGATATCGTGGCCCTTTTTCGACACGTTTGATTAATACCGGCTGCAATGTTAATCGCCGAGGATGTTACATTAGCACCAACATCGCCATCACCATTAGCATCTGTTTTCCCACAAATTTCACCGGCTCCAACACCAAACTTCCTATCGACTTCCACATCTGCTTTCCCACCAATTTCACCGGTTCCAATACCAGAGCCACCATCAGCACCAATTCCCAATCCATCCATTCAATAAAACAATAGTAAAAGTACATACCGTCAAATATAAATAAATAATAAATTAAATATTTGAACCTAATTATGGAAAATATGCCAGGACAACAATAAAAGCTGAATGAAAACGTTATCTTACAAATTAAAGAGCTATTTTTTGGTTTCGAAAACTTCTTAAAATACGGCTTTTTGCACTTTTTCCGCCATTTATCTACAATGAATTCCAGGCCTAAAATATGCCTACCCATTTTGGTATTTTATTTTTTCTCAAACTTACAACACAAAATCAAACAGCAGGTATTTTTGTTACCTCCTATTTCGCTGGTAACAAAATTTACAGGGTAACAGTGAGCTCAGAATACGAAATGGTAACTAAATTTACTGAATGGTAAATTTTAATACCTAGGTAAATTTTGTTACTTCGACAGAATAGGCCTGTAAATGTGTGTTTTTTTTTTTTTGTCTCTTAGCCCTTTCGGGTCAAAAGTCAAGAAAGCATCTAAAAGCGTATATATATACGTATGTCTATACATAAATGAGAATTAATATTTACTCCTAAAATAAAATATAATAAAAAGTACTATATAAAGGGTTCGGTTGTAACGGTTTAGCCAAACGGTAATATAAAATAAAACTATTTTTTTTTTTTTTTTTGGTTTTAGTGGCAAATTTTAATTTCATTTCATTTGATATACATATAAATTTAATAGAAAGTTATATCTTCCTTCAGAATTCGTGTGTTATTATGGATGATAATTAAATTTGCTTGGATTGCAAAGAAAAAAAGCGCGAAATCGATATTGTGCTTGGATGAAACGTTTCGAAAATTCCGAGATATATTCGTGGTTAAAAAATAACCTCAAATATAAAAACATCATTTTACCCGACGATTATTCAGATTGTGGTTATGTTGTTGTTGGAGTTTCCGAGGTCATCTAACGGGAGATCCAGGAAACGTGCTGTTTTGACGGTTTCAGATCAGAAGGAGAGGATTAGAAAGGAACAGCATATCTCCTTCCTTATATCCCTTCAGTTGTAATGCCTCAAGGAGAGAAAAATAAAATAAAGCCGTCAACCAATGGGAAAGTCGTATCCAAGATTTGCATTTGATTCGTCAATCCACTTTACTTCCCAAGCTAAAATACCATCTTAATATGAAAGGACACCTACAGCAAATATCTGGAGTATTAAGGAAAACTGGGTTCGTTGCGGTGAAGCGGTGAGCAGAAGATATTTTGCAGGCTTTTACCAAATATCAGATGAATAGATATGGCGCACAGTGAACACAAGAAGCAAATGTAGCAGACGGCTACTTGGGGACGCATCTGTTAAGCACCTGTAAAGGTTAAAAATCCATAAGTTCATCAGCAGAGTAAAGGTCACTTATACCAAGCGGGAGCCGTCAACCTTTGATGACCATGTCGCGTGTACCCAGGCACGTGGCAAAGGAGAAGCTGGAAACGTTGAGATTTACCAAGGAGAAAAGTTGCAATTGGGAAAAGAGCTCATTGCCGAAAAATATTTCACTTGTGTAGAGAAATGAGTTCTCCGATAGAACTTGTGACTCTCAGAGACTAAATTATGCGATAAAGAAATACAGCTGTAGGTTGCCAAGGATCGATTATACTCTGGTTTCGACACTCGAACTTTAGAGCAATTATTGGCAAGCGGAAGCGATGAAGAAAATGAAAAAACAGCTTTCAGTGCTGGAAACGGCTTTGTCAACGATATCCTTTGAATTTCTATGCAAGACTCTTACCAGCTTCTTTTAGCTTTGAGGAACATCTGGACAATTCGAAAGAAGTTTTCCAGAGGATAGCTGGCATTGGCCTCAAAGTAAGTCCAGAAGAAGGTGGTGAATTAATTTAATTGCTTAGGTCATCAAGTAACGGCAGAGTGCGCCTAGAGAGGAATTTATATGAATTACTAAGTTTCTAGTCGTTTAACATTAGAGGCATACTTTCACAAGTAACTTATGAGCAGGAGCAGATGTCTACCCACTGTAGCGGGTTTATTGAAAAGCCAGAGCAAAACCACTGCGTAACTCGGACAGAACTACTAGCGTTGGTGGATTACATCAAGCATCCCATATTTTATCTGTATGGGCACCATTCCCGAGTAAGGACGGGTCAGGCAGAGCTTAGCTGCCTCCTAGATTTCAAGAATCCTGAATGACAGGTAAATTGATGCATTTAGAGACTGTAAAGGTTTTACCAAGTAACGACCAAATGTCAGCAGAAAGTCCAATCGCAAAGGCATTCTGGGCAAATTGGAACTCCTTAAAGTTGGTATATGGATGTTTTCATAGAGTGTAGCAAACTGAAGAAGGTCAGTGTTCTTGTAATCTAAAAGTAGTTCCGATGGTCCCAGTGGAGGTCCTCTGGGTATGACGAAAACCCTGGAGAAGATCAACAAGTGGTTTATTGGGTTGGCTGCAGTCAATCGGTCGCGAAATGGCAGCTAATGGGCTGAAATTCAGCAGAAGTTAGGAGACGAAGAAAATAAATCAGGTACACCATTCGAATGACATGATCAGAATAGGTTATAAACTATGAACTACTTTAACAAATGGCCAATTCCAAATCAGGAAGCTAAATCCGCACTGGATGCGTTCATCTACGATTGGATTACCAGATACGGTGAACCTTCTGGGCATNATCTGTATGGGCACCATTCCCGAGTAAGGACGGGTCAGGCAGAGCTTAGCTGCCTCCTAGATTTCAAGAATCCTGAATGACAGGTAAATTGATGCATTTCGAGACTGTAAAGGTTTTACCAAGTAACGACCAAATGTCAGCAGAAAGTCCAATCGCAAAGGCATTCTGGGCAAATTGGAACGCCTTAAAGTTGGTATATGGATGTTTTCATAGAGTGTAGCAAACTGAAGAAGGTCAGTGTTCTTGCAATCTAAAAGTAGTTCCGATGGTCCCAGTGGAGGTCCTCTGGGTGTGACGAAACCCCTGGCGAAATGGCAGCTAATGGGCTGAAATTCAGCAGAAGTCAGGAGACGAAGAAAATAACTCAGGTGCACCATTCGAATGACATGATCAGAATAGGTTATAAACTATGAACTACTTTAGCAAATGGCCAATTCCAAATCAGGAAGCTAAATACGCACTGGATGCGTTCATCTACAATTGGATTACCAGATACTGTGAACCTTCTGGACATTCGGATAACCTCAACTACAACTCTGCATTCCCAATCAAACGGCATGGTAGAACGATTCCACTGAACCTTGAATGAGCACTTGTGGAGAAATCTAAGGAAAATTGGGATATCCGCATACATCTGCTCATGACGGTTTATCGGCTCGTGGTATAAGAAGCAACGGGTAAAATACAGGCAAGTACACCACAGGCTTTCCTGCAGATCGAAGTTCGAGGTAAGTGAAAGAAGAATTGAAGAGGCAGAAGCATGCTCTGTTTAGATTAATAGTGACAAGTAGTGTGGTAAGGCGATGAAATCCTAAGATCTCCAAAATGGAAACATACTTCCACAACGGAAGAAATGATTATCCTAAAACTTCAATGCAATCGGAAATGTTCTTATAAGGTAATTAAGCGTCTCAACCACATGGTGTATCGAATCCAGACCGTTGGAATACTGAGAGACTAGATGAAAATGGTTTATTTGCCGATAACTACAGCATGATCCAGAGCGCGTGTATTATATGTCCTTTATCGAGAACATTCAACCAGAATCTTCTAGAAGATACATGCGGTCAAGCTGTGGCTATATAAGAGCGAAGTTCGTATTGCTGGCATGTTCAGTGCTTACAGGTGAATATGCTATGTATTTACAGCGTGTTATATCATTAATAAACTTAGTGTTAATATAGAGATAATAAACTGTGTGTTTATAATAAAGAAATGAACAACAAATCTTTGGACTTTTATTAACAATCCGGGAGGTTATTTAGCGAAAATCGTTAAAATATATTTTCTACAAACACGTTCTAAAATTAACTCGTTTTCTTTTACCCTGGCAGCTCGGTTCCCTTTCACATGTGGCTGCGTCTGTTTTGACAGTTTGCTGATTAGCAAGTGTTTTTAGCCGGTTTTGTTTTTTTTTATACATATATCTCCGGGGCTAGTCTAGAAATTCCAGAAATTCATATTTATTTTGTAATAAAATCATGGCCCAAGCATCTAGCAAAGGTATGCCAAAAATACAACTTGGCGACTATATAGTAATTCAGCGTCAAAAGTATACAAAGCTGCAGAAGTTTGGTAGCTTGGATGCGACGTCTATGCTCGGTAAGGAACAACTGGAATTGCGCGGTCTTTTGGATCAACCCTATTGTGCCACATTTAAAATGTGTGCCAAGGAGAGTACGCCATCTAAACAGAAAGGACAACGTAATCAACGTCTACATACATTGAAGTTGTGCAATGAAATGGAATTAAAAAATATACGTGAACGACTAGGAATTTCGGCAAGTGGGGCTGATAACCGTGACATAATTGACAATGGTGATTCGCAAACACTGCGCCCAGAGGATATTGAACAGTTACGCGAAACACATAGTGAATCCACCAAAATTATTGAGAAGATTGTAGAAAATTCAAAAACTTTTCACTCGAAGACAGAATACTCGCAGGAAAAGTATTTGCGCAAAAAGGAGAAGAAATATTTTGAATTTGTACAGATACACAGACCCACATTGCGTTTAATCACTGAGATTTATTATCGACAAGATGCTGACAAAGTGATGGGTATGCGTTTGGATACACTTTCACAACTTATTTCATATTCGGGAGTTTCTGCTTTTGGTAATTACTTGATGTATGAAAGTGGCACAAATGGCCTACTGCCGGCTAGTTTCCTAAACTCAATGGGAGCTGGTACTGAGGCGACTTTGGTACATATGCATCCAGGGAACGTGCCACAAAAGCAAGCAATGTTGGCTTTAAATTTGCCACTTGAGCAATTGCAACGCTGCATCTCGGTAAATTTGTATTCCGTATTGCGTCAGTACTATCAAGGCGAAGGTCAAGAATTACCAATTACAAACGAGCCAGGTACGCCGATAGAAGAGCGAGAACCCAGCAGTAAAAAACAAAAATTGAACGATGGCGATGCTGGTGAGTAGCTTAATGAAAGCAAAGTTGAATTTTAAATGAATGGACGATTTTTGTTAGCGCCTTCCACAACGTCTTCAACAAGTAGTGACAGCAACGGCGAAATCAATGAAATAAAAACAACGGCAGCGAAATTAGTTGCGCCAATACAGAAATGGCAACTGGAAAATCGTCGAGCCTGCGATTTGATGAGCGGGAAGTTCGATGGACTTGTGATTGCAGCTAAAGAGCATCCTAGTAACATTCTCCAAGCCTTATTACCATTTATGAAACCATCCCGACCGATTGTTGTGTATAGCCAGAGTAAGGAGCTGTTACTGGAACTGTACGTAGAGTTAAAGAGCTGTTCAAATGTGACAAACCTGCATTTGACATCGAATTGGCTGCGTCATTATCAAATATTACCTAATCGTACGCATCCAGAAGTAAACATGAATGGTAATAGTGGTTACCTCTTGACCGGATATAGTATAGTTTAACATATGTAAGCATACATATATATTTTTTTAAATAATATAACTATTTTTTTGATCACATACAGTACATTAAATTCTAACTGTTGTGAGCATTTGAATTCGTTTTCTTAATTTTTTATCAAATTGGCTTCACTTCCTTCAATTGAAAATAGTAACCACATTCACAACGTTTGGGTGCACCTTTTTCTAGCCACATCCAGTTGACAAAACGATTGCCTTTACCTGTTTCGAAATAATTCCATGTAGTCTATTTTCTAAAAAAAAAATCTATACAAGTTTTAAATAACTTACAGGAACAGCCAACAATTCGTCCATCAAATGCAGATGGTATCATATTTGGCTGTTCTTTGGTCCCAGGTCCACGCTTCAGAACTGTATCAAGTAACCAAGGGTCCTTATTGCCGGACTTAAACTGTTCCAATTCACGTTTTTCGATTCCAGTAGCATGATCCATGGGATCGTTCATTTCTAAGTTTTGGAAAATTTCCTTAAAAACTTAAATAAATAATACTACATATTTACTTAGTACCTGTAAAACGTATTTTCGTGGTCGAATGAGACCGCAACGGTAGCGTAAGAATTTTGTAAACATTTTTGAAAACCCCAATTGGTTTTATAAGAGTACAGACTAGCATATTTTCAGCTTAGCTTTCTTAAATAACAACTAGTTTGAGTAAACTCTTCTACTAATTCAAATATTCAAGAAACTAAATTCGTTTTAACTGATTTTTTTATGAAATTTAAATAACATTTCCTTTATAAAAAGCGTAGAGCCTGCTTTGTAAAAAATAATTTTTTTGAGTTATATTTAGGAGTTGAAATAACACTTCCTTTCTTAACTTAAATACTTTGAATTTATTCAAACTCTCTTTTTACCATAATTCAATGCAGTGTAATTTTCGCATAAGCAAAAAATTAATTATTAATGAACTAAAAAATTTGTTCTTTGTGGGCAGTAGTTAACTCAAACGTCTTCAAGCAGCTAAAAAAAAAAATAATAACTAATAAAAATAAAATAACTAAAAGATTACTTAAACACCGTAATATGTGTTTTGATTTCTATTCATCTTTATGTATAGTTAACATTAAATATTACAGTGTTCTATTTCATTTATGAATTTACTTTTATATTCCAATATGGTGAATCGTTGGCCATAGCAAAGCACCATCCAACATAGTAGATAGCAATGTAACTAGTTTCTGATACATTCTTAGTATTAATTCTCCTAAGTTTACGCCTTCCCATTTTACTATCATTTTTAGAGTTCTTTGTTGTTGTTGGTTTTGTGAATTTATTTGGTTACTTTTTGCTTAGTAAAATGAAATTTGCAAATATTTTGTATTATTTAATTTAAACAGGAGCTTTCTCAACCAATTTGAACCAATGACCGCATTCGCAACGTTTGGATGTACCCTTTTGCAGCCACATCCACTGCACATAAGTTTGATCTTCTTCGCCTGTGGTACAGAGACGGAAATAGAAATGAAAAAAGTATAAATGTCAGGAGTATTTTCATTAATCTTACAGATGCAGCCCACAATACGAGCGTCAAATGCTGATGGTATCAGGTTGGGATTTTCTTTGGTGCCTGCGCCACGTTTGAACACTTTCATGTCGAAGGGGTTATCATTGCCAGCAGCCTTGGCTAGCAATTCACGTTTCTCCAAACCAGTGGCATGCTCCATTGGATCGTTCATCACTAGAAGATATAACGAAAATAAGCGACATCAGTAAAATAAAAATGCCTTCAAACTTTCACTAACAAACGTTATATATAAAAAAATAAAATACAACCTTCCAAATACAAATATTTTTGGTTATGTTGCAAGTACTATGCAATTTGTGGGCTTCTCATAAAAATACATATAGGGTATATTTCAGGCATAATATAACATATGATTGCGATAAACTAACAAGTTCAACTGTAAAAGGTTACATAAACAATTTACGGTCATCACTGGGACCTCTGATGAAGAATGTTTCATAGCATTACATTTTGAACAGGAATTCTTGTATTGCCTTTAAACGAAAAAGAAGCCACTATTTACATCGTGATTTATTTAATAATAATTACAAAAAAGTAGAATATTAACGAATGAAAAATTCTGCTAACAAAGTAACCGCACGTCCAACAAACATCAATAAATGATTACATAAACTAAACTTTTTCAGCTTCTGATACTGTAATTGAGCGTTTACGTTTATAATTTTAATAGAATAAAATAACAAATAGTTTATAAACTCCGTTTTTGACTCCTTTTTTCATTACGTAACATATTCATTCCGACCCCGCTGCTCATGCATAGAAACACCCGTCACACGAAATAAATGCGTGTGCGAGCTGTCATATGAATGCCATATGAGAAAAGAATGCATAGCCATAACCTTCCGGCTCTGTGATCTTTACAAATTTCGAATGATTTTTTTACTTATAAGAATTCACTTTGCTACCAGCGAAGTCAAGACTTCTTTAAATATTTGTATTGCCTCCAGGACCACTTACTTTTGCAGAAACGCACTGGAGTGATTTGTAAATTTTGACGTGTCGCCGCACGCAGAGCCATACGCCCACAAACAGCAGCCATTTTCTTAGATTTGTGAAGTTATTTACTGGTTTTTGTTCAGAATTTCAGCAAATATTCGCAATATGCGATGGCACACGAAATTTCGATTTTTGACAAAAACTTTGATTTATTTCGTAATTTCCAACACACACACAAGCTTGCTGGTTCGCTCGTCGTCGCTACTTGAAAAGGATGAAAAGTCAAAGTGACATTTGAATTCGTGCAGTATTGCCATTGCAAGATAATGGCGACACGTCATTTTCTGAGGAACTTGCAAGTAGCGAGTCCACTAATTGTTTACTATTTCAACACTTATAAGGTATAACAAACATATACAGCCTTTCACTTTTAAATAAATAAAATTTAAATTTTAATATTTTTTCAAAACTGACTATTCAAAACTGAAGGACCATATAATAGTGAAAATCTTTATTTTTATGGTTCAAAGCTTTGTACTGGCGGCTACGTTAGTCAAGTAATTAGCATTGCGTTTTGCCATTCGGAAGGCTCGGATTCAAATTCTGGTACTACCAACATTGAAAAATTTATATAAAAATTTTGTAATAACTGCCGCCCCTCGGCAGGGTTATATACCGAATTTCAAACAATTCGAACGATAAGATCGATTATGTCATTTCCTGGTCCAATTTAGTGTTCTTGCTAATCTAATCAAAAGCTTGCCTATGTCACCTTCCGAAGTGAATAATAAACGTTCACCGATCCTTATACCTGCCCTTTATATCCGCCAAATCTCATAAAAACTTATCCAGCCATTTTGGATGTGTTTGGCATACAAATATTATATTTCTATATTAATTACTTTTTATTTTTTTTATTTTTAATATTACATGTAGTAGAAATATCAAAGTCACTGTTTTCACTTAATTGACTGATAACCGATCAAAAACAAATAAAACGTGGTGCCAAAATTATGGAATCATCACCCGTTCACCGCACGGTCTTCTTTAAATGATTGGAAATTACAAATATTGAAGTTATTATTCTTATAATATATATTTTTTAAGTCAGATTTTTAGCATTTAAAGAAGTCTTTTTGAAACTCCGGTCAAAAAATTGCAGCAAAGTGAGTTTTATATAAATTTTCGTGATGACGTCCATAAAAGATTAGAATTATATAATTGTTGAATTAGAATAATTACAGTAATTATTGAATGGAATTTGATTGACAGAAAAAATTTTGAATTTTGAAATTCGCCAATTCATATTAGTCTCCAAGCGAACACTCCTTAAAGGAAATTTTCCAATATTACACAGGCAGCCAAACTGTTTTTACATTTTGTTGCCACACGCCGAAAATGTAAAAAAAATAAACCTGCAAATTTAAATTTAAAATTTATATTCACACAAAATGTATGATAGAACTGAAAAATAAGAGATAATAAGTATTTAATTTTGACTGGAATCAATACCTATAATGTATCTGATGTTAATGTACATTATTGTAGCTTTTTAAATTTGATGATATATGGCAGCCATCTACTGTTGCTAGGAAACGGAAATGCACAACACTAACCGGAAAAAATAAAATCGACCTCAGCTGGTTAGCTTAACAATTTCATAATAAAGTATTATAATCACATTCAAAAGCTGCAAAAAAAATGTCAAAGGGACTCGTATGCTTTGATATCTCAAAAAATGAACGTTTCCAATTAGCCGATAATTACAAAATGTTGCATCGCAAAGTAAAAATAAATTGGAAAGTTGAACAGTAAGTAGAACGCAGTCATTCAAAGAGACGCTATTTAAAGTAAGTACCTAAATAGGAGTGATGGCGAGTTGAAGAAAGAAAGATTACAACGCGTAAACATATTTGTGTTGGCCGGTCCTCAGGATCGTTTCACCGAAGAAGAATTTCAAGTGTTGAAGGAATTTGTAGATAAGGGTGGTAGACTATTGGTGATGCTTGGTGAAGGAGGTGAACAAGAATTCAATACAAACGTGAATTTCTTTTTAGAACAATACGGCATATACATAAATAACGGTGAGTTGAAATCAAAATATAGGCAACACAGTTGACTTTGGTAAAGAGTACTAAAGTACGGTTAAATTGCTTTACTTTCGTATCAGACACTGTAGTACGCTCCCACTACTATAAAAATTTTCATCCCAAGGAGTGCATTATTGGTGGAGGTGTAGTGTGTGAATCAATGTGGCGTCATTTGATTAAACAGGATATTGAGAAAGTCGATTATGATTTTAGCGATGAAAAATATAAAATACACTTTCAATATCCATACGGTGCAACTTTAAATGTTTCGGAGCCAGCAAATGTTCTACTTAGTACAGGACCTGTCGTTTATCCATTTAATCGGTTAGTAATAAGATAATTAATTTTTCTTACTGTTAAGCTACTATCACTTGAATATCCTTCAAGACCTCTGGCGGGTTACTATACTAACGAACGTGGCGGCAAGATACTTGCTATTGGCTCTGGCTACATGTGGCATGATAAATATTTGCAAAACGATAAAACAAACGATGCCTTATTGGAGTATTTTATGCAACTGTTGGGCGGCAATGAAATACAGTACTCGCATTTGGATTTTAATGATGTTGAGGTGAGATAACTGAGAAAAATATGTTTGTATAAATGAGTAATAATGCTCTTTGTTTTGTTGGGCTTTCCAGATCAATGATAATAAAACATTCACTGATATCGCCTTTATTGCTGATATGCCAAAAGCTTGTCTTGTAGACTCGATTGGTGGCACCGAAACTCCTGCAGATTTCAAACTAATGTTTGACATGACTATTTATTCGCTGAGTAATCGCCTGTTGAAAGATGTTATGGACGCATACGAGCAGTTAAATGTCAAATATGAACAACTGAAAATAATCAAGCCACAATTTGAAATACCTTTGCCCCCGTTACAACTAGCAGTAAGTTTTAACAATGTCCGCTTAAATCAAAATTTTAGAAATACTTTGCCTAAGTCCCACAGAGTGTTAGAAAGTGAAGGAACACCAAGCGATATTTCTACTTCAATTAGTTAAATTTTAATGATGGTTATTGAGTAAAATGGCTTTCTGTTTAGTTTTGAATTGTCTAAAATTTGGTGATTTGATAACTGTCTTTTAGATTAAAAAATCCCTACTTTTGTTTCCGAGAAGGGGGACAAAGCGCGATATAAAGTTCTATTTACTTGAAATACTTTCCCTTTCAGGAAGTGGATCAAGCACCGATCTTCTTTAAGAAAATTTGTTTTTGCCAAGATTTGGTTGTGGTTGTGTACGAAAATATTTTTTGTCTATCTAGATGGATTAGGCACAAAGTTTAGTTTGGTGGAAATTGAGCGAGTTGGTCGATTTTTTAGATTAACATACTTATAACATGTTCTATTTTCGAGAGGGGGATCAGTATAGTGTAATTTGGCTCATCTCGATACATTCATATTTACATTTTCATGAAAAATTTAAGTAGTGAAAAAGGAACAGTAATTAATTAAGTAGATGATTATACAGGAATATGCAACTGTAATACTTAGGAAAATCAATGACATAATAGCAAATTTATTTTTTTGAATTAGTCAAGGCTTCATTTGAATTTTTAATCATCCCTCCTTTTAGTATCTAAAACTAAAAAAAAATACAGAAAGCTGGAACTACGTATGGCCGAGACTTTTAGGAATCAATAAGATTTTAAGTTAGCAATACTAAACACGAATAAAACAATCAATATTGACTTTTTACCTTGAAGAGCGTCTGGTTTATTGCTAAAGACCAATGACTTCTAATAACTCCACAAGAAGTAGTCTAATGGTGTGAAATCACAACTTTTTGGAAGCCATTAAATGTCAACATTTCTTGAAACTATCGGACTTTTCTTACAATAATTTGGTTGTTGCACGTGCTGTGTGTCACATAGCTCCAACTTGTTGGAACCAGATGTTGTTAAAATCAAATTCCTTATGTTGGGGCCATAAAAAGTTGGTTATTATCGAACTATGCCGCTCTCGATTGATGGTAACGGTGCTACCAGCTTCATTTCGAGAGAAGTACGGACCGATGATTCCACCAGACCAATAACTACACTAAACTGTCAAATTTAGGTTGTTGTTCATGAATAATTTGTGGATTTTCTTCGCAACAGAATCGGCAGTATTGTTTATTTACAGCACCACTGAGATGGTCGTTTAGTTTTCAAATTGCTGTTGTTGTTTGTAAACGTTTCTTTCCGTATATTCATTACTGAATGCAATGAAAAAAATTAGAGAGCATGACATATTAAAAATAACGAAAAGGACACCTAGAAATCATATCATCCTTATTGGAAAACCTTTTATAAGGAAAGATATATCTAAGAAACGTTATTTCTCATTAAAAAATAATATCTACATATTTGTAGCAATTTAACTATGTATATTCATAACTATAGCGCTACAATTAGTGTCATACGTCCGTAAATATAAACATTTCTGTTCTTATCTTCAATGTAGACATTCCCACCCATCTTCAGCGAACCTGCCGCACCACCACTTGAACTTTACGATTTGGATGAGGTATTCAGTGCAGCGCGTACGCAACTCGCTAATATGACCAGCAAATGTGTACAATCTATTTATGCAAAGGATGCACGTAAGCCGTTAAATGCACGTGAACTGGAGAATTATATTAAAGAATGCGCGCGAATTACGGGTATCATACATGAGCATCAAGATGTACAACCGCGTGAGATACTCAACATACTTGCTAATCAGATTATCAGCTATAAACCATATGCGGATGAATAGCGGATTTGAAGTTCCTTCTAATGTAGAGAAGGATTGATATTTGAAATACATGGAGAAATAAAGGAAACCACGGTGTAATGAGAATGTCATTTCAAAACAGTCTAAATAGTTTTCTAGATTTTATTTTCCATTTTCTTTTTAGTTTAGAAATAAATATAGAAAAGAAGAACGAAAATAATCTTAATAAGCAGATTCATAGCTGCTGGCCAAGGCGAATTCATAAAGGTGAAAGAAGGAGAACAAAAACAACAGTTACCGTGTATTTTGCTCCTGTTTTTCAGTGTAACAATTGTCAAAATCATGCCAAGTTCATACCATTCGCTTTTGTTGAATTGAATCAATACTTCGAAACAAAAGTTAGAAAAGAAGAAAAGCAAGAAATACAACTTATGTTGTTAGCCTTAAAAATCCAAGATAGCTTATTTAAATTGTATTAAAACTAGAGTAGTTTCCTTTTTTGGAAATATTTTTGCTAACCCTGATTACTAATTCATTGGCCGACAATCTGTTCAAACAAGATTGCCAAGCAAATGTGAAACCCATCTTTACAGACGGTTCAAAGCTCCTTGAAAAAGCGGTCCCTTAAAAAACATGAGCATGAAATTACAAATCCACTACAGCGTCTTCCAAGCAGAACTGTTTGCAATCATAGAAGTCACCGAGTGACTGCTCAAATCTACGGTAGCAGGATTATCAGTTACGTTATAATCTGATAATTAAATAGCCATCAGATCTCCACAGGCTAATAATACCACATCAAAAGTGGCGATAAAAAAAACGAACCAGAACAGACTTTCGGTTAAATGCAATACTACCGTGGTTGGGTACCCAGACACAGGAACATTGCAAAGGCAAAGTATATGCTAAGCTTGGCCTTTGCCAAAAATACAAACATTAGATGGTTAAATGAGATCACGTGCAACGTGACCAGACAGCTATTACCAAAATTGGACGCGAAAAAATCTAAACATATTATCTTTCTAGACCAGTTATCTGTTAGCATTACTACGGGTGTAATAACAGATAACATCGAACGATGGGGCTTCACGGAAAAACAGGCTATTATTCCAATGATTGTGGCCGCAACGAAAGAGTCCATTGAACACTACTACTACTTTGAAAGACTCGCTAAGCTAGCTTCAGCAAGAATAGGTAATTCGTTAATAGGCACGCGAAATGGCTCGAAAGTGAAGATAAAAGCATGATAGCGGTATCAGCAACGTTCCATATTTTTATTTAAAAAAAAAAAACAAAAAAATCTAAATATAAACAAAAATACAAAACATAAACAAACATTTTGACAGTATTTACACTGAATCGATTTAATTAAATGAAAAAAGTTGAATTCGCAGCTCTAACAAACAAGGAATTTAACAAGGTGGGGTTACAAGGGCAGCGAATCCAACCTTTTTCATTTAATTAATTCGCTTCAGTGTACAGGTAGTCAAAATATTTTATGTTTTGAATATTTGTTTAAGTTTTGATTTTTTGTTTTATTTAGTTTGAATTTCTAATTGTATAGCTGAACATTTTCAAATAAGATTTGGCACTTTTCAAATAAAAGATTGAGTTCCGATTTTTATATGAGTTGAATTGATGCGGCTTTAATCAATGACCAACGCACTTAGTGCAATATGCCCATTTTGATACCGTTATTATGAGGCTTTTATCTTCACTTTCTCAGATGTTCTAACCATTTCATGTACATTATAAAAGCTACGAGATTGCTAGTTTTCGCTGAATCTAGCTCAGCGTGACAGACAAAGAAGTGTTAGTGTTCTGTAGAATCTTCTTCTGTGGCGAAGAACATTATAGGAAAACCTATTTTTCCATGAAGCCATAGTATGGACATGTTTCGCGTGATCTCATTCTGTCATTTAGTGTTTGCATTTTCGGTAAAGTTGCCCTTGTCTTAGCATATTCTTTGCCATGACAAAGGTAAGCCTACATACTTTATTTTAGATAGAAAGCCTCCCTTTCTTTCTATTTTACTGTTAATGTCGTTTGAATTAGCAAACTTTAATTTTTAAGCTAACGACATCAAGTGTATTTACTGTTTTTTCTTCTTTTCTGACTTGTTTTGAATTATTAATTCGATTTGACACAAACGAATTATATGAATTTGTTATGAATTAGACAATTGTTACACTGAAAACAAAAAAAAAAAACACGGTAATTGTTGTTTTTGTGCTACTGCTCTCACTTTTATGAATTCACCTTGAGCTCTAGTAACTCCACCTTGATAAATTCGCCTTGATGATGAAAATAAACTAGGTGAAGTAAGTAGAGTAGAAAGAGACTTTGGCAAAGCCTAGCTCAACGTTGTATTTTCGAAATCGAAGAGAAAGGGGAGGAAAGAAACAAAAATCGGGGATTCCAATAAATATTGAAAATAACTAATTATTTTTTGGAAAATATATATGTGTGTATTGTATACAAACATTATTTATATAATTGGCACTTTGTAACTACTGAGCGCTTTTAGGACGAGCTCCTCCTCCAATTTATGAAATCCGTCTTGATGTTTTCCCAACAAATGGAGAGACCTAGACATAATTCTAAGCTGCCTCAACTAAATTCTAAGCTACAGAAACCCATTTGGAAGGCGTGGACCTGCCCAATGACGACCGCAATTAGAAAAAACTTAGTTAATTTTTTTATTTGGATTAATTTTCTATAACTTTGAGTCCAGACCCCAGTGACAGTCCGAACTGCACTGAATCGAGATCGATCACGGTAGCAGCTACAATTGCCTTTTACACTAAACTGCTATAGATCGACTCATCAGCTGCTTAGTTTAAACAATCGCCAAATATCACTTTAGGACTATGCAGTGAAGGCAGATTAATTAGTCGTAAAAGACTTTTCTAGGGATCAAGAATCTTCACCTCAGTGTAAGTTTCTTAACGCGAATAGTAAAAATTGCTTTTATACAAATTCCAATTTATCACTATTCAATGGACAGTCTGGATTCCATATAACTGGGACTAATTTGGCAATGTGTGGGTTATTAAAGTTCTTGGCCCAACATTATTTTGCTTTATTAACTCAAAAATTTATAATTTCTAAAATCTAACTTAGCGTCTATCGGTTCAATATGAAAAGGTTTTTACGTCACATTTACAAAAACTAAGATAATATAGAAAGTGATTATTGTTAAAGTATTTATGTAAGTGAGAAGCGAAATAGTTGTGCAGTCGCATTCTAAAACTATTCAGCACATTGGTTGTCTGATTTGGCGGCAAAAAAAAATAATTGGAAAAAATTTTCATAAGTTTTAGCTGGTAGTTGCTTAAGAGCAATACATTCGAGAAAGATATCTTTCAAAGAACCGCAAAATATTTTGGATATAGCATCGCCACAAAAAATGGTTGATTTAAGAAACAATAAATTAATTTAAATAAAGTTTAAATAGTTTCTCTGAAGAGAATTGCAAAAAATATCGCACGTCTCATACAAGTCGAATACACATACGAGTATATGTATTCCTGGCGAGGATCGCATTTTTTTTATCATAACCACTTAGTACCATTTTCTTATGCCTTCTCTCGGTTATATTTCCCACTGATATTTTTCGATGAGGAAAAGATTTTCACTAATTGCACAGCTTCTAGCGAGTCTACATTTTTCAAAAATGAAACTCTTTACACAATGAACTAAACCTATTTTTTATTTTCAATATATATCCTATTATAATATCTTATTACTAAAATATATATTAAAGGGCTTGTCGTTTTGTTGGCTGAAAATTTTCAATGGGGTTGAGATAGGAGCTCTGAAGAGGCATATTGATCACTTTGACGCAGTTGTATGGGTGCCATATCGGCACATTAAGCTTCTTATGCTTGAAGTCATTGTCCTAGTAGAATTTAATAGTTGGCTTGTTGTTGGAAAAAAGCCGAATCGCACTGCACTTGGCTTCAAATTTGCATCCAAAATTTGACAGTGACGCATGGGATTTATGGCAAATTCTATGAATGCCAAGTTTCCCACTCCTTGACTGGAGATGCAGCCCCAAATCATAACCGACAGCTTGCCAAATTTTACAGTCGTAATGATTTTTCGCGGTTGGAGTGCTGTCAACGGCTCACGCCATACTCTGGTTGGGCCATCGTTGTAGTACAACATCATTTTGGTTTCTTCACAGAATATGACGTCATCCCAATATTCTACCGGATGATTTACCATGGTCACAGCGAAAGTAAAGCGCTTTTCTTCATTGACCACAGAAACCAGGGGCTTTTTTCAGCAATTCTTGATCGGTACTTGCTCCGCAGAATGGCTTTGCGAACAGTTTCGTGTGAAACTGTCACATTCTTCCTAAAGCTCCTCAGCGAGAGTTCTCATCGATGCTTGCGAATTTCGGTAAACTTTTCGCATGATTATGCGGTCGGATCTTTCATCAATTTCCCGCTTATGCCCACCTCCACTCTGCATCAAACCTCCCCGCGTTTTCCGCGCCACTCAGGACATTGTTAATTGTTTTCCGTGATATAGAAAACATGTCTATCAATTTTGGAACTGATTTACCGCATGGTTAACACCAAATGACAACCTTTTACCGGGCATTCTAAAAGTTCTTAAAAGCAACTTTTTACATGCGCTCACAGCAAAATTGCACAACCAAATCAAAAGTAATGCAAATAGTTCATTGCAATAAACAATAGCAGAAGCTTGATAATGTTTAATTACTTTTTTAGGCAAAATAGAGAGCGAAACGGAGTGAAAAAACAGACAGAATGTGTGAATAGTTTCTTGACATACTGTATACATATGGTAACTGTATATTATTTTTAACTATCCGATGAATACACGTTTTTTTAATACCAAATCCTCAAGTTTCCAGCTCAACAACAGATAACATTAAATTCTTAAAATAGGAGCATTAACGAAGATGATCTAATATCGCATCGTTGATAAAATTTTTCAGAAAATGTTAATTGGAATCACTTACACAAATTTTCTTGAGATTTTTTGTTCACAGTGACCCATTGTACACTTTTCCCCTGTTTTGAATTTCCAAACACAATTTTTTCACAAGACAGAGATTAACCGTTTCACAAAAGCTTCTTAGATTAAGACAGCTAAAAAAAGTCAAAATATATTAATTAAATTTAACTAATGGAAACAAATTTTTTTATTAGCTCATACCAATAAATGACATATTCGAATGTAAAGTCGACCAAGAGCAAAAGTTCTGTTTTAAACATTTCTTTCCGTATTTTGTT